TTTTATATAAGAAAACAACCAAAAAAAAACAAAAAAAAAAATGGATGAGTGAAAATAGATAATTTTCAAAAAAATATTCAACATTATCTCACACAATGAATTTTCAAGGTACCTTAAGGATTTAAAAAAAGTTGCTTAACCCTTTGACTGCGGACGGGATACATGCCCTCCCGTTAAGAGTTGGTTCACTGGTGCGGGCGGGATATATGTCTTCCCGGTAGTGAGTTGGGGCACTGGTGTAGCCGGGATTTATGCCTTCCCGGCTGAATGGTCGCCACTTAAACAGGTAGGGGCAAATCTAGCTTTCCATATTTGACTTGTGGCTTGGTCAGTGCATTTATTAGTTCCCCATAGCTAACTCAGAGCAGTCGTTCCGGATTCTGACCATTTGGAAGCTATCAGTTGCAGATTTATTCTGAACCTATCCTTTCTATATATCCTTTCTCTTTTATTTGTGTTATAACCATGATCTTATTTATATTATATTTAAATGTTTTATACATAAAATAAATGTTAGTAAGTCAATTTTTTTTTATTTATTTTTTTTTTTTTTTTTAAATTTGGTTTTGACAGAATGATGATTTTGGTCCACATGAACCTCTGTCTATTAAACAAATAAATATAAGATTCCTATATTTTTGACAGAATGATGATTTTGGTCCACATAAACTTCTGTCTACTAAACAAATAAATATAAGCTTCCTACAAATGAGGAAGCTTATATGAATTGAGCAAATAGCAAGAAATTGAAGTGTTGCGGGATTCCCGCTCTAATTTTGCATTGTTATGTGCGGCCGGGAAGTCATATATCACTTTTTTTAAAGTTGAATGAAAATATTAAAATGAATTTTTGAAGCTAAGATTTAGCAGGGAGACTCGAAATGGCATTTTGAACAAATTTCTGCAAAAAAAAAAATCTGTTTTTTTTGGGAGATCTTTGTGGATTTCAGGATGCAACATATGGTAGAAACTCACAAATGAGCTCTCCCAGTCAAAGGGTTAATTTCATCAGCTTTCCAACGAAATAGCTAACTTTGCGAAGTTGGTATAATTTTGGAGAAATTTAAGGTTGAGTGGTCAAAATATGTTAAGGTACTTATACAGAGAGTACCTATTCTTCCAATTTGTCAGCCATAAATGTATTTCCTTCATCTTTGAGACATAAGAGAATGCTTCATAACAAAAACTAATCATATATTCAAAGGGCTAATTATTGTGATTAATTCATTACTTCATCAAATTATGTTTGATTAAAACACTTAAGAACTATATAGTTTGTTTATTATTCATTATTTGTCTACTTTCCATTGGCTACGATAAATCATTGCAGATTCTGAAAATGGTGACAAAAGTTGAGAAATGTTCAGTTAAATTAGAGAAATTTAAATTTTTAAAAGGGAAAAAGGCATTTTTTTCTCAGAAAATCTTGAACAATGTCAAATATAGACAACAAATAGAGGTATATACGTGAGATTGGAGGAACTGAACTAAATTTTCTGTAGTAGATCTACTCTTCCTCAATTACTGACATTCCATCAGTCATTTTGATTGTGTTTATAATGTGTTTCAACGCAATCATTTTGTCTATCTTCAGGATTAAAAATATCATAGATACAAGTAATGAATATAGAACCAACCAGGATAATATTAAACAATACAATCCAAACAATAGATAATGATATTTATAGGTAACAATAATATTTAGTATATATATCTAAGGTCACAAGAAACAACTTGGTGGGCAGAAAAATGTTCCTAATGATTTATATGTTTTGTGATCATACCCCCAAGACTCTTACACACTGTGAAGAAGTTCGTACACTATACAGTTCTTATCTAGAGCTCTAAAAGATTAAGAACTAAAAGTGACCAACTTTTTTTTGGTTGATGAAGGCTTGGTAGATGATCACAAAATATATAACTTATGAGGAGCATTTTTCTATTTACTAAACTATTCCAAATGGTCATAGACATATAGTACCTGATAATATAAAGCTTTCCTAGTTCTGAACTTATTTATCTTATATATTAGGCAATAAACATCAATTTATTATGCAATTAATAAATTATTAAATAGCCAAGCAATTTTTTAAAATTATTATTATTATTATTGCTTTTTTTAAGATATGATAAATACTTATGAAAACAAATTAAATGTTTACAGATACATAAGAAGTATTTTAAAAGTTAATTAACAAAATATAACAAAGCAGAGGCATAAATATTGAATATTTTAAATTTTAGTGAATACCCTGTGATGACAGACTCCTTTTTATCAAATTAATAACATCCGCCTAAAACTTCATGGATAGTTTCATCTCATTGTAACCAACTTTTTAATTTGTGAAAGTTTTCAGAATTTTTGGTGTAGCCTTCAACCCCAACATGTCAAATAACGAGGTTATATAGGCCAAACTGCCAAATATTTTTGTAAGCCACCATTTTTTTTTTTTTTTCATAGTTTTATAATCAAATTATCTTATCATTCAAGTGGAAAACAAATGGGCATTTATGAGTTTTTAGTATCTCGTTAAATTAATTTGTTTGATGAGAAAACACTCCATTTTAGAGAATCTTCAAACATGAAAAATTTGTAGGTAACGATCAAATGAAGCCATTCATGAATCTTTAGGCAGATGCTTATAATTGATGATGATAAAATGATAAAAAAAAAAAAGGGCTTGTACGGTGGATTACAATGGTTAATTGTAATATAATATTGAGCAGGGTTTGAAATCGATAATTAGTTTTTCCACAAAATCATGTAATAATTATTAAATTTGATTTTCAATTTCAAAATCATGCCTTATTTATAAATAAAAATTTAAACCAATCTTGGATGTTTATTGATTCAATTCAATGAAGACAGTCGGAAGACAGAAGTCATCCTAACCAAGGTATTTAACAATGTAAATTCTGCAAGATATAGTAACAGGATTAGGAAGGAGTGTAGGTTGAAGACGATACCATACAAATATGTTATCTCGATAATGACCATGGTAGTTGATACCTTTAAATACATTAAAATATGTTACATACATTTTTTTCATGATATCAGTCAAATTATTTTTGAATTCCACCCCATTAGTGAAATATTATTTAAGGCTAAAATAAAGGATGTTGGAGGTTTAAATAACTTTAAAAAAAAACTTAATAATTATAATTATTCTACACAATTGTTGTTATTTTAGAATAGTGCTATTTCAGGTAAAACAAATAAATACTAAATAGATAAAATTATTTCAAAGCTCAATTACTTATTCTATAAAATAAATAATACTTCATGCTTTGAAATACTAAATTAAAAAAATTATGTCTTACATAATACTATAAAAGACATATTTAAATGAATGTGTGAATATAAAAAATGTTTATACATTCTTGAAAATTAATACATTTTATCAATTCAAAATATTCAATTTATTTTCAAAATATGTAGCATTATTAATAACATTCCCTAAAAAAATGATAAGATATATCGAAAAAGAGAAAATCCAAAAAAAATATACGTTATTAAATAAGAAGTAATGTTCAGCAAAGTGAAGAGATCTAATAACTGTAAAAAAAATGGGGACATGACCATTCATTATTCAGTCTTCATTGGAATAAATCTATCACATCATAAAATGTTTAATTTTTATAAATATTAAATTTAATATTGTTAACCTCAATGAAGTGATCTTAAACTGATTATCTGGAATATAAAACCTACAATTAGACACGTATTTAGATCAACAAAGGTATGAGACAGTATAAAAACTAAACCTTTTCTCCAATAAGCCTAGAAAGAATCCTAGGTAGTACATTTTAAATATAAAACAGTTGGGCATAAAATCCATATCTAATTTAACCACTGAGCGAAGAGAATGTTATTATACTAAAATTATTCCATTATGATATTCTTTAAGCCTTTAAATTTCTTTTTTAGAGGAAGAAAAGTTTACTTTTTATTTTAATAGCTGATTATTAACTTAACATATACTGTATGGATCTTCTTTCAGACCTCATTCTATCTAAAAAAAAAGAAAAAGAAAAAAACAACTATTGAGACCCCAGACATCTATATATCCTAGACACATAGTCAAAGAAACAAACTCTAACACCTCAAAGATTTAGTATGCAGCATACGAACTAGTTCAAATCACAGAACATAAACCTTATAAATAATATATATTGAAATCTTATTTTCATAATGGTTACGAGTATAACTAAATATATCTGTCTGTCTTTCAATTAAAGAAATAAATTTAATGAATGAAATATCATAGTTATGCTAATAACTTAGATATAATCTTTCGGCTATATTCTTCATTTAAAAAGTAGATTTTTTAAAATGAAAAAATTAGGTCTGTTTTTAAAAAAAAAATTATTATTTTAGAATTAACACTAAGTAAGTAATGGATGAACTATTAAAAATTTCATGGTTATTAAAATTTTCCAAAAAATTAATAGATAAACATAAGTATCCATTAATGTCAGAAATAAATATATTTCTATATACATATCTATCCATCTCCACCAGCCGCTTATCCATCAGAGGCAGCTTTACGTCGGTCACGTGAGGTGTTGAAATCCCAACAACCTTAAAATAAATAAGCTTAGCAGCATCATAAATGCTAAAACTTTTTATTTATTTTTTTGTTTTAATCCTATAAAATAAATTATGAAAAGGATCATTTTCATGAACTTATAATAAGGAAATGATTTTAATATTGAAGTTCATAACAATTAAATTAAATTGTCTATTGAAAAATAAATATAATTATATTAACTATAATGATGTCTAACTAATTTTATTAATTAATATGATTAACAATATATATATACACACACATATATATATATATATATATATATATATATATATATATATATATATATATATATATATATATATATATATATATATATATATATTTAATAAGTAACTTACATTAAACAGATTAGTTATCCATCAATCATATCTATAGGATTCTATAAATTATTAATTTTTCACAACTAGACATATTATTTTATTTAGCATGTTGAACAATACTTTTGGATAAAGTTAAAGTTTAAATAAAACTATAATTTACAGCATCCTCAAAATCCAAGAGACTTATTATAAAGTTATATTGCTCAATTTAGGCGGTGTTTTAATACCTAACACTTTTAAAAACTACCTTGAGCTATCTAAAATATAAATGTTTAAAAAGTAATGGTTTTAACATTAATTGAGGTAGTGAAGATAACGTCTTAGATAAGTATAAAAAACCTTAGTCCATTTTCAATCTTTACTGTTTGATGTTTCTTATACTTTTCATCTTATAAGTATTAACAATCTTGATAATAAATAACATTTATTTTTACATCTTAATCTTTATTAGGTTATACAATGAAAACAAAAGTTGAGAAGAGAAATAACAAAATTTATGAATAAACAATTCTATACATTTGTAACATATTCAACTATTTTTGAGGTATATATTTTTTTTAAACTGTTTTACAGAAAAAATCAAGATTACACAAATTTTTCGTTCTCAAAGAAAAAATTCACTTAAGTTATAAAAAAAAAAGCTAGGAGCGCACACAAGGTATAAGATAATCCATTCTGAGGATTGTATAATTTTAGCACTACCTTCAACATAATAAAAGAATAGTATCTTGATAACAAACATTTTTTTTTTTTTAAATACTAATGAATTCTTATAAAAAAGATCAACAATCTTAGTATCATACTCAAGTTAAAACAAAATATCCATTACCAGATCCTATAAACATACACTCACTAAGAAGACATGAGTTGACAAGGTGACAAAGTGATGGAGGCAGAAGTCTATCTTACGTAACAGAACTGCTTTTAAGAAAAACACATTAGAAGAATGAAGTTATCTGAAGGACAATGGAAGAAATGCTCTGAAGAACACACCACAGCAGCTGAGAGAAACTTAGGTTTTTAGAAGACCACTAAATCACTTCTGTTGCACTAACTATATCAGGCAACAGCAAGAAAGAATGAACTATACATGAAAAGTTTGCAGTACAAAACAAGACAGTCAGTTCAAGTATATGGTGAGATGAGGAGGGAAAACAAGTAAATCCATGGGAAAAAAAGAGAGGGCTTAGGAAGATCAAAAGTTAAAGAAGATTAAAAAGCTCATAAATCCAGACTAATCCAGACTAAAAGAATTTGAAATACAAGCCTTCATATTTATGATATTAACGGTACTCCTTAAATAGTCGGTCGGGACGAAACTTCCCTAGTTATCTAATGTTACATCACATAACCTTTCTTATCTTGGGTAAGCTCAGTTATTCTATTGTTTATTTTTGTTCCATTAGTGTGATATTCATCAAATTATGGATGTATCAAATTATATTACCTTGTGGGAATTGCCAGCTTCAGAAGAAGAGGCTATCAAATATTTTTAAGACGCCAGGATAATTGCAAAGGTGAGATATTGTGATGAAGGTTATGAAATGAAGTTCAACGGGAAGATGAAATGAAGATGCTTTCGTACCACTTGTAACAAAAACATTTCTATAAGGAAAAGAAGATGGATAGAGGGGTCGAGGATTTTCAGCTGAAACTATCTAATCCAACTATGGTAATGTGGAAAAAATTTGTAAGAGAGGTTTGTGCCCATAACATGATATACAGGTCAAGTAAAGAAATTGGAGGGCCTGGCAAGGTTGTTGAAGTAAACGAAAGACTTTTTTCTAAAATGAAAAATCATGTAGGGAGAGTTTTACATGAGCAATGGATGTTTGGCGGAGCTTGCCGAGAAACAGACGAGTGTTTTATCGTCAAAATAAATGACAGAAAGGCAACAACTTTATTAGAAGGTATTAAAAACAATACACAAGAGGGAAGCACCATTTATTCTGACTGTTGGAAAGGATACAACACCCAACAACTGAATGAAGCTAACTATAATCATTTCCATACAAAGATATATGGTGTTTATAGTGTTCATATTGTTTCTTTTATATGCACATATGTTATTTAAGTGTTTTTTTATTATTTCATTTATTTTTGTCTATTTCATATATCTGTTGTAAAATTAAAGTGTTTTGTTATTGTTGTGGAAATTATTACATTCCTTTTTGACTATTTCAATTTTAAATCAAATTGTTTTGTTATTATTACATTTATTTTCATCTATTTAATATATATATATATATATATATATATATATATATATATATATATATATTTCATTAATTTTTGTCTATTTCATACATCTGTTGTAAAATTAAAGTGTTTTGTTATTGTTATGGGAACTATTACATTCCTTTTTGACTATTTCAATTTTAAATCAAATAGGAAATGGCATTTTCAATTCCCATTTTTGTGTAAAAACAATTAATGAAGTTGATATAAAAATTTGATCAAGCTCAAAGCTGGGTCAGTCACTAAATTGAGATGAGACAAATCGGGTTTTAATTTTCAATGAAGATATTAAGACCCAGTAAAGCTCCTTTAGATTGTACTGGGTTAAAAGATCGACAATCTTAAGCTTTTAAGATAACACATGACCACAGCCTATCCATCGCATGAAGCCACCATGGTTGTGTTGCCATGAGATACTTCTTGCATGTCATTTTTAAGCTCATATGAATGATAGAGGAAGAGGTTATATCGACAGCCACACTGCTAAAACCTGTAAAAACAAAACTAATTTTTTTCAGGAGACGAAAAAAACTACATTATGTTTGTTCTATGAACATTATAATTTTGGTTAATTTTACAGGCCTAAGACAAAGATGAAATCTCTATGTAAATTTTTGTATTGAATTTCTGCCAAATAGTCTTTTAGAGCAATTTTCTTAACTTACAGGAATTTACTTCAAACCTACCGCTTTTTACTTACTTTGGAAAACAGGTATTACTTAGGTAAAGGCAATCAAATTTACTATAGCAACACCCATGACCTTGTTAATAATGATCAAATCATGACAGGAATAAAGTCGGTTTCCAAAATGTACAAAAACGATACTTTAACTGAAAATTTATAAAATATTTGACTGGAAAGCAAGTGGAAAGCGATTTGATCACACGGGTCATTAAATTTGTATTCCTCCTTGTGGGGGAAGCTCAGACTAGTCCATGGAAGTTTCATTATCAATGTACTGAACTTCATATGTTGATGGTTTGATTCACAAATTCTTGATAAGTTCTAGCTAATCTGCTGGTGTGTAGATCACTTCATATCTGAGCTTCTTGCAATTTTAAAGATTCATTGGTTTAAAGGATCCACTTACAATGAAACTAGAATTCTTTTTTTGTCTTGTTATAAATTTTCCAACCAATGAAATCAATTCTGTCTCTCACTATCTGGAATTCGGTGGTCTTGTAGCTTTTTTTTTCCAGCTCGTTTTGCATTTGCCAGATTTTGATTATTTTGAAGGCCGTTCAATATTAAGATCCCACTTAACACTGTTTTCTTTTTTTTTTTTTGTACAGTTCCATGGTAAGCAGTGCCGGCTTCAGACCAGAGGAACACGGCCATTTTCCCAGAAGCAAAATGGAAGTACTCGATAAAAGTCGAGCTGGAAATAATCGCCACCTATAAGAAATTAAAAAAAAAGGATACAAAGCAAAAGAGAAAATTAAATATTAGCCTGTTAATAAAGCTAATGGTTACTATTATTACAGGAAAAGAAGAAAATAATTTTCTTTAGTTCCATCAATATTGTTAATCTCTGAGAAGAAAAGAAAAATGAGTCAACTTAGAGGGGATCTATTATCAATTAAGTCTGAATCTGACTTGCCTCATGCTTCTTGGGAAAGGTACTTGGATACAGACATTAAATCACTTCTCAAAATCATAATTTGAAAAATAATTAATTATAAACAGGAGTCCAAATGATATTAAAGTCAATTTGCAAACTCATGCAATTTATGCTCCCTAATGCTTCCTTAAAATGGCTTATCAATTACACTCAATCTCTAGCGATAATTATGTAGTTAAATGGAACCAATCCAATAATCATTTTTGATTCTATAGTCTATGAGCAAAACACTTTCATCACCTTTCATTGAGCATTTCATTACGTTTTATCAGTGACAATACAGGTTTTTACATCACAATTTTCTAGTTTTTACTTACAGGTCTTCATAAAAGGTGATGGAGAACAAATTAAATCGTAGATTTCATTTTGTGGGGTCAGAATATGCGCGAGGACAAGCTTAATCAGAAAACCTCAAAACCTAATTTTCCCACAAAATTGTCCTTACAGGATTTTGCAGTTTAGCTGTAGATATATTATTTTCTTTCTGACAATAAAACAACATCAAACATGTTTAACAGTTTTTTGATGTTAGAAATATATGAACACCACTCAGAGAAAATAATATAAAAAAGATCTTGTTCTTCGACACTAATCTAATATGTCTCAGGTATTCTCTGGGTTAGAATAAGTTACAACACTGGGTTAAAGTAAGTTTACGGATAGCTGAGTCTTGAGTGAAAATAGATAGATGACATCTACCTTGGTGAACGGCTAGTTAAATGTCTTGATTGAATTATTTCACTAAAAGGATGACCCAAGTAATGAATGGACTCAGTCATGTCAGGGACCTCAGATACCCAGCAACCATGACAGGATATAAGGAGTTGTACTGGGTACCTGGTGATGCACTCCCTCTTGGAACATTGACATTTTCTGGAAAACACTTCTCCACTGCACTCGGTTTAACACAAAATAGATTCTCACAAAATATTTGATTTCACTACTACTTACAGAACACGGATGTTTTCAAGTCAAGCTTCATAGCCCTAGCCAGGATGTTTTCCACAAAACCTCACTTATGGTATTCTGAACACTTTCAAAGCAAATATTTCTTGCTGAGTGAATTATCCAGTTGTCATAGTTTATATTTACCTCTTTTTTTTTTAATATTACTGACAATGTGATTAGTTAATTATTCCAAACAAACATAATTAAAATTATTTTAAAGAGACATATTTTGATCAAAATCATTGAAGTTGTATTCGAGAAAACTGTAAACATTTGTAAAATCAATAACATAGAAGTAGCAAACATTTTTTTTGTTATTTTATATTAAAAAATTGCCATTTCCAATGAATTCATTTTATCAAAAATGTTGTTGCAACATCCCAAGAATATACCTGCCTTAAATAAATAATTTCAGTTTCTAACTCTTCTTTTTTGACCAAGGTTGTTTACATACAGACACCCAGACCATTCAGCGAGACTTGGTTATTTGTATTTAAAGGTTTCTTAAAAGTATAAAATGAAAGCCCGAATTTAAAATTTTTAAGATTAGCAATATTTAGCTATTTAATATTTGATACACTATAGCTCAATAAAAGTAAAAATGATTAATTTATTAGTCAAATAACCCTTTTTTGTACATAAAAATGTTTGTTATTTTGATTCGGCACATCAAATCACCATAAAGTAGAAAATATTATAAAAAACACTTAATTTTTGTTTTCTAGTGGTTCAAGATTTTAGAGCTCTAAATTAATTATTTTTTCTTTATTTTAAAATAAATATCTTATTTGGAAATTTTTCGATTTTGACATTCATGGAATCAGAAATAGAGGGGTTCCCTCTTTCCAATTCATCATATAAACAGCTATTGAATTATCTAAGTCTTAGAACCTAATCCAAATTAAATTTAAAATGTATAATATTTATTAAGTTACTATCAAAAATATTTTAATTATGGTAATAATTAAAAATACATTTTAATTTAAAAAAAAGAAATTGGGAAATCCTATTCACTTTAAGGGAATATCTACTTAAACAGCTTGTGATAGATACTAAGGGAAAATGACATCTATGAATATTTAATATTGGTATAGCAGTCAGATCCCGAGTTCGAACCCTGGCTCATGGCAGATAATTTATTTATCTGTTTCATTGGCCGCGGAGCGACCTTGGGTCAGGAGTCCCTCCTGGGGCACACCCAGCCTCTATAAAGTGGGTACCCTTAATTAAATAATTAATTAAGGGGAAAAACCTGGCGGTTGAGCGTGATCTCGGCCAAATCACCTCCTTGCACAACCGTTGACCTAGAAACAGTGCTTTCCCTAAATAGTACTGAACCCCAGACCCTTCATGGGTTGTAGTGGTACAGGTTTTTATTTTTTTTTTTTTTATAGCAGTCAGATGCTTTCCACCCCCTAACTAAAATTCAAATCTTCGAATGTTGATGTACACCGATACATGGAACAAAATTTAAGTGCCAAAAGCCGTTATGTGTAGGGAAAGACACCTGACTACTACATCAAGTTTGAATGTTAATATATGTCAATTCCTCTAACATTTTACAAAGGTGTTACAGTAGATTTACAAGGACATTCCCTTAGGATGGATAGGGTTTGCCTGTCCTTTTTTTCTAATTAAATTGTTTATTATTTTAACCTTTTTTTTGTTTTTCAATCATAGACAAAATAAAAAACATTAAAACTTAAAATAAAAAACATTTGACTTAGTTTCTTATCAAATATTGACACTCACAGTTGAACCTGTCCAATAGCAAGTCTCACAGGAGGCAGATAGAAGATCCCTCTTCAGAAGGATGGTTGGAATACATTGAATAGACTCCCAACAGATATGGACTTGGACCAATGGACCAACAGATAGCCAGCACTTGGAGCATACTCCAGCCATCCTTCTTTTTAAGCAAATGTCAAAAGCAGGAATGTAATTAAGACTTATGGTCCCAATTGTAACTGATAAAAGAGCAGTAGGGATTTTTTGGATGACATAAATCCTTATTTAAATAAAAGGAGGTTTCCTTGGTTTAAAGTGCATAAACAATAATTATTCTAAAAGCACCAGAAAACTTATTTGATTACCAATCATGATTAAAAATATACAAAATTAATAAATAAAAATCAACACCTCATTCTTTAATACATACCTGATATTTTGGTGCATTGTTTAGTAAAGGATAATTCCCTTGAGAATCACCGTTGTGAAGTAAATGATTGTCCACTAGATTCCATCCCCAACTTTGATCATCAGAACCTAATAAAGCCACATAACCATGACATTGTAAAGGTGCTTCTTTAGTTGCAATACCAATCACTGCCACAGTCCCAAGAGGTCCTTCCCATATAACTTCCCAAGCATGCCTGCCATGCCTAAAACCTATTTTACCTCTAGAAGCATCAGTACTTTGTGCCACAGGATTTCTATGAAGGGTAAACCCATTGGGTTTAATATATACATTTCTACTACAGTCATTAGGATTCCAAGCATGGTAAAACGCTCTTAGCTTGGCTTTGTATGTGGGGACTGATGAAAGAAGGTCTGATTTAAGAGCTTCTTCTGCTAATTTTCTAATACAGTGAAGTCTCCAAACATCATTATTTTCATCATTTAAAAAACTATACCACTTTTTGCACACTAAAGAACAGTTTCGAAGGTCGTGAAGATCTAAATAAGAGAAAATAACTTCAAGAGCAGAATCAGGGAGGGATGCAGCTATTTCTTCTACCATTTTGCCGGCAACCCGAAAAGGTGCCTTCGACTTAGCTGACTTCTTGCACTTATTCTTGTAACGCACTAACGAACGAAACTGTTCCTCCAACCTAAAACCTACCTTTATCACAAACAAACACATTCTACATAATTAAATGTATAATTTAAGTTCATCAGTTCGACGCCATCACGGTATACAGGTTATAATGCTGTTTAAGAACAAAATACATCAGCTGGGCAAGTAAGTAATGGAACCACGTGACGATACCAATCCAATCAGCTGTTTTCGGAGTGCTTGTCGCGCCAAGGGGCCAGCGTTTGGATGGCCAGTGTTAAGCTATAGTGTGGCTTCGATCCATTCTTTTATTGTATATTTTATTTTATTCATGAATTACATGTTTTAATATAGTACCAAAAGTATTATTAATGGATACTGAAGATTTTCAAATGGCTACAGCACCATCAAAATCGTGTTTTGCCTTACGTTTATCAGAAGTGTTTTGTCGCCATTTTGCTTAAATGCTTAAACGGCTCGAAGACCTCTTTTTCAGACCAATGGACTGTTTTATTAAAATTATATTACGCTTATAAATGTTTTTAACTTAAGTACATGCTATTATATTTATTATGGCCCACCAACCAGGGACTATGAATCTGCTGATTCAAGATACAAATGGTAAAACCTCATAGTACTTTTTTCGAGGTTATTGTTAAGATTTTATATTATATTTCTTAAGAAATTTGAATGACATGTTCCATGGAATGTAGAGTGTGTCTAATAAATGCTCTATTGGTCCATACTAGTTGTTGAGGCTTTAAATTTTGAATTCAATGGCCCTTTTGACAATGTTTGGATTGAGTAATTATGCCAGTGCATGACATAAAATCTGTCTTAAGTTTCTATCAGTTGTAAATAGTATTCCTCCTTCTGTTTTAGGAGATTTATCTTCTAAATCATTATCAATGATTACCACATTTTTCTAGAGTTTTGTTTAATGTCATTTTTATTGGTTAGGTGATAGTAAACAGAATCTTAGTAGTCAATAAAAATGTCTCTATCTGGTTCAGATTACTATATATTTCTTTTTAAAAAGTTTCAGAACAATTATATATTATAGTAAATAATGTATGAATGAGATAGATAAAGGAATTCATCTAGTATTTATATAGCATGGCAATTAAAATTGCTAACTCCTTACACATTTAAATTAAATAAGCCAAAGCTATTTTCAAGAATCTTTCTTGTCTTTGTTATATTTCATTCATTTTCCATTAAAGATGAAGTAATTAATTTATTAAAAAGAGGAATTATACATTTATGATAATTTATTTGGTGTGGAAAATACTGAAGTAGCATCCATAGTTTGTTGTATATTTAGGAATTTATAAGTGCTAAAAATGTGTACATTTTAAAGTTTTATCTTATTAATATTTCTATTTCAGGAAATCCACAGCTTATTAAAGTTCAGAAAAGTCAACCCAAATCTGCTAAACAAGAAACTCTTAAAATCCTCTCTCAACATAAACCTGGTACATTAGCACAGGTGAGCTATAGAGATAAAACCTATTATTGTACTTTCTAATATGACCATTCTCATAATTAATGAATATAGAACCTTCTTATTTTTGTTCAAAGATAATTTAAAACTGTCTCTTTGTATATGAACCTATTCTGTGTAAGCACAGAAAAAAAATATCAGCAATTGTACATCAAATTTCATACAAAAAACTTCCTATAAAGGCATTGTCAATCTCCCTCTCTCCCTATATTTGTTCTTGTATTCACCATTTTATACAACATTAAACTGTTATTTACACAGATTATTTGATTTGTCTGAAAGATTTTATTAAATGCTTATTATAATTTTATTAGTTGGCAAACGTATTTCCTACAACTTTTCATCTGATCATTGCTTGAAAACTAGAAAAATTAATAAGCTTTAAAATGATAAGGAGGATCCACTAATTGTTTGTGGCTTCGCAGAAAGATAGACAAGAAACCAGGAAAAGGCTGGTTTTAATTATATATATATAGTTGTTTCTAGTTTATTTAATTATAAAGTGTAAATCCAAAAACCTAGTTGTTTGGCATGTCCTCTTAACTTCAGGAATAATCTGGTTGAATGGATGTTGTCTATGTCGATATTTATTAGCATATTCACATGCAACCTCTTTTTCATTTTATAAGCATCCACTGTAAATAAGCAACATATCCTATTCATTATAAGTATAAGCTTTAATGATGAACATCCTAAATCTTATCATGAAAAAAAATAGCAATTTAATAATTAAAATTCAAAAATAACTGCAGCATTTATAAGTTGTTTTGTTTTACTAAAGCCTTGTAACATTACTTTCTCCCATTATACTGAACCCAAGACCCTTCTAGGGTTGTAGTGGTACAGGTTTTCATTTTTTTATTAAACAAGTAAGTTCAGAACATTAATACTTGTTTGAAAATATGTTGTTTTATTTTCTGTTGGCGTTACAGACCTTTTAGATCTTTTGCCACCTTAACAAGCCTGCTCTATGTCTACCTGTATTCGGCTATTCCATTCCAGTTATCTGCACGCAGCTTTGTTACATCTTTGTTGATTTTATCTAAGTATCTGATTTTTGGTATTTGCCATCTATTAAGGCATTCATTGTTCCAGATGGATTGCTACATACTCTGCCCATCTTAATGTATAATTTATTTACCATGTTATACATGATGTGTAAACAAAATTAGCTACTTGTTGAACTTAAAGAAAATTAGTTTAAACTCTTCTTCATAATTTATTTTCTCCTTCAACTTAAAGAGTGTGAAATAGCTGAATTCTCATTGAGTTAATTAATTTTTATGTAGCATTAGATATTACAAACACTCAAATCAGAGTAAATTTGGTATTGTGAATATTAAAATTTAATTTAATTTACAATTTAAAATTTAAAATTGCAGAAATAGTGAATCAAAAATTATTTAGTCATATGGTTTTCCTTTGATCTCTTGGCCGTCTTTCCTTGAAATCATATACAATTAGTGGAACCTCCTTTATCAATTTAAAGGTTGTTAATTTATCTAGTTTTCAAGCAATATAAACAATGTGTTGATCTACCAAACGAACAAGTTATGATTCCATGAAAATTTTATTGAAATCTAAAACTGCCCAATATTATTGCTTATTCTAGTTTTTATAAGCAATGCTAAAAGATAATTTGTTTTATGTTTCAAATGCTATAAGACATTCTGTAGAAAATAACAACTATTAATCAAAAAATCCTAAAAATCACAATTATGCAACACTAGAAAGAGATCTATAACTCGTTCTAGAAAGTATTTATAAAAGTATCGTCTACTATCTAGTATGGAACTTTCTGGTTGTCAATTCAATGTAGAATTTCCGATATTTGTATCTATATTTATCCTAAGCATCCCGTATATTGCTTATCATCCTGAAACATCTTATCATTGCAGGTTGTCAGCTTCAAAAATAAATGTTTAAAAAATTAGATAATTTTACTTTTATAAAAAAAAAAAAAAATTTACAAGATTCATAGTTTAATAAACTTATAATTCAAAATATTTTTTAATGTTCACATATTTTTTTTTTATTGTTAAACAGGTTGTTAATGCTAGCTCAGGTTCTATTATTCCTCAGGGTGCTCAAGTTTTAAGGGCTGTTGCCATCCAAGGAAAACAAAGTTTGTATTTATTTAAGATATTAAGAAAGCTAATTTTTATAATTTTAATTTGCTAAAATTTGTTCAATATTGTAGGACAATTATTTACTATTCCTGCGATCACGCAATTTCAGAATATCCTAAAACCAGAGCGGCAGTCTGCTCCTCAGACTACTAAAACAATACAATTACCATCACAATCTGTGGTATTTATAATTCTGATTATATTAATTTATTTATTGTTTGTTAATTTCTCATTATAAATAAAATTACTTTGTTTTAGCAAGTTTTGCCGAACCCTTCTAAAAACTATATTGCCCCTATTCTTGATTCTGGTGGCAACAGTAGGAAAAGAAAAGATAGCGAAAACGGTGATTATGTACCTGAATTGTAAGTTATGATGCATCTTATCTATGTGTTAATATTTAAGCGGACCTTACAAGATAATTCATGAATGGCAGTCATGTGACTGATAAGTATTGCTTCAATCATGATGACCCTTACGTGTTCAATCATACTGATTCATTTTAGCTCAGTTGATGTTGACATAACAGGCATTGTGAATCTGGTCCATGTGTTTCAATAAAGGCCACACCAAAATCTTACCTCTGCGAGTGTAGAAAACTGATGGTGTACAATGATAAAATGGATCGTTCTTATGTTGTTATAATAATAATTTGATGTGGATCAGCACCACCTCTTCGTAGACTTTAACATGTTTTTATAATGTCAGAAGGAAAGGGCTGATCGTGGCTATGGAAAGATTAAGAATCCCTAGCAAGTTTGATTTGTTCCATGAGATAACCCCCTATGCAATTCACACTCCTCTTTTATTTATTTGAGATTTTTTTCTTTTATCACCTAGCTCTCTATTTCTGGTTAATGGAGGGGTTTATTTAGAGATACAACCAAACCTATCAGAGTGGGATGTTTGAGATTTATTCTGAGGATCTGGCATGAAATAAATTTCAACCCACCCAGACCAAATTCGAAGCAATGTCATTAGACTCCAAAATGTTTACGAAAAATAAAGTCGTGAAAGAAGTAAAAGTATGAGTGGCCTTTGGTTTTGATTTGGAAAATTCTTCCTTCAGTCCTTAATCTCTTAGGATATATATTCGAAGTATATTATTCCCTGTTTCTCAAATGAAACAAGACAATGTATCTTCTTACCTTAACTATCATTCTGTTTTTATAAAATAGAGTAAGGGATTCTATAAAAAAAAAAAGAAAGAAAAAAAAGTGGGAATGGTCATGTTTGTCCATGTGTATGAGCTAAGAAAAATTCAGAAAATTAGCCTGTAGAATATAATATAATAGAAAAATAATTTTATTCTGAGGCGAAGTCCCCTTAGAATAAAAGGCAATCCATAATCATTTATTGGTTGAATGAAATATACTTTCAAATCTCTAGGCATATATATATATATTGTTCAGAGGACTGGAGTTATGTGGTTTACAAAATCAGATGGAGCACTGAGGTTTTAATCGTCTACCATTGGTATAATTAATAGGATTTTTGTTATTTTAATAGTCTTAATGATTTGTTAGCTGTTAACTTTAAGCTATAGCTCCATTAAAAGTGCACTTCAAAAAAATTTTAATTGCTCAACATTGCCAGAAAGTAATTTCTATTCAAAGGTAAGTGAAAGTTGTGTGTGCACAAGATTTTTATTTTTAGAGTTATTTGTATCATTAAAATAATAACTGCTTTAATTTGTGCACAACTTTCAGAGTTAACCTTCACTCAAGAGATTATTAATTTTAGTTGAAGATGTATACTTCAATGTCATTAAATAGTTTTTATTTAATATGGGCATTGTCCAACATGATATGGATGCCATGTTATAAAGTGAATATTATTCTAGCACCACTGGAGTAAAACGAAGAAAATCTGATAAAGGAGGAAAAGGTCTCAGGCACTTCTCTATGAAAGTTTGTGAAAAGGTCAGAAAAAAGGGAACAACATCATACAATGAAGTAGCAGATGAATTAGTTTCTGAATTCACAAATCCTAACCTTATCCCTAACAGTGTTGATCAGGTAATAATACATTAATTTATATGTTTTGAAAATTATTTATTTGTTTTTTCTTTAAACAAATAATTCTACTAGAATGAATGAAATATAATGTAATATTTTTTGTTTTCCTAAATTACTGAAAATAATTAATAGCTCATTTAGAGTTGTTAAGAATGTTGTTTTTGAGGAAACAATCTAATAGATCACGGATCTCTTAACTCCAAGAACTAACAACCTTCAATCTGGCCCAGGAAAGGTCCTTTGATTATATGGTAAAATTTTAAAAAACAAGGAAATTAGTAAACTTCTAAAACATGAGATTACTTAAACATCTATTCCATGAGTTGTTTCTCTTAAGGCGGAATTCCACTGAGGCAACATGTGGCATTGACTCATGCTACACACAGTAATGTTTCCATAGAAGGAACACAAAGCGACAAAAAATTTGTCTCCTTGCCACACGCTACAAGTTGACTGCTGTTGTCTGTCGAATGTGTCATTTCTCCACATAATTCATGATGTCGAACAGTACGTCAATCAATATCTATCCAACAGCCCTCAAATTGGTGCGGCTTGTTGCGGGCAACATAGAGTGGACGAACAAAAAAATTGCACCAAAATCGGCAAACCGGAAATGGTACCTTTTACAATCGTTTCAACATATTTTTACAAAAACGGCTCCAACGAACTTGATTAAACTCTCTATATCAGTGTATTATTAAGCAGATTTTAGTATAATGGAGGTTTTATTCTCTTTGATGTTATCTTATGGCTTATTTCCAATACTGGCTTCCTCTAATGTACCTTTAATTGTTTTTATTTGAAATAATTAACCATTTCACATTAATCTTTAATATAAAAAATATAAAATATGAAAGAATTTGATAATTAAATGAAGGAAAAATAAGAGATTGTAACAGATATTAGTTGTAATGCTGGAACCAAAGATAACAACTGGCTTCTATACGTAACATGAGCTTAATATAATACATACTCTGACAATATTATGTACAGAGCTTAAAACTTGTTTATTTTTTTGCAATAATCACTTTCAGAGGCTAATTGGGTGAGAATATCAAACAATATTAACAATTTTAAAATTAAGATACTCTTTTGACAACAGATAATATCAGTTTTTAAAAAAATAATTTTTATACTTGAACCTTTAATTCCATATTATGTAATTATTATAAATCTATATATTTAAACATTTATTAAGTCAGTTTTTATTTAGAATTTAATCAAAATTTAAAACATAATAATCTTAAAATAACAAAAACGTGTGAAGCTATCGATTTACTTTTGGGTTAATTCGATTCAGAATAAGAAAATACATATAAAATTGCCACTATATGAGTTTTAAAGTCGTATGTCTAAGGTGGGCAAAGTTTTTTTCCGAAAATAAGGTGTTTTGCACTACTGTATGACTGTCGCTATATCTATCCACCTGTGACTGTCAATAACAGCCTCAGCCGTTATATTGAAATTAAACAAGGACAATGAACAAAATGGAGTTAAAACAGTGCTTTTTACAAAGAGAAACATACCAATACTATTTACTATCTGTTATGTATACATCTATGGACATATTTCATTTTTATATAAGATAATTCTTTCTCTAATCGAACACCCATTAGAACAATAGTCAACCTTAAAATGCTAAGTCCGGTCAGCCATCAACTTGTTTTAAAATTTGCAGTTTTCTGTGTTCAATACTTAAAAAAGAAAGTGTGTGTGTAAAATTAAAATTCAGCCTGCCAAATATTTTCATATTCTAAATTAACTCTAGTATGGTCAGCCCCTAGTCCCAAAGTAACCCAACCCTGGTTTACAGTATTGTTGCTCATTTTAGTGTATAGATTCTGGTGTGAATACTTGTTAAATTATTTTTTTGTTTGGCTTAGAGGTCGTCAATGCCTAATTGTTAAAATTGTATTTTTCAGCAATATGATCAGAAAAATATTAGAAGGAGAGTTTATGATGCATTAAATGTTTTAATGGCAATGAATATTATTGCCAAAGAAAAGAAGGAAATTCGTTGGCTTGGCCTTCCTACTACATCAGCTCAAGAATGTGGTAGTCTTATTAATGAAAAGAAATCAATTACTGAAAGAATTCAAGTGAAAACTCATCAACTAAATGAGCTTTTATTACAGGTACTTATTTTATTCTTATTATTAATAACTTTTTTTTTTTACTTTCACTTACTTATATATGTGATATATAGTACGTGAAAATTTTTTAATCTGAGTTTTCAACGGATATACACATTTGAGGTTCCCTGATCCAAATAACCAACTCCCGCAAAATGGTCTGTGTCTATGAGTATGTATGTGAACAGCCCCGCTCAAAAACAAAAAGTGGTACGAAACTGAAATAGCGTATTTGAGGTTTTTATGATCCTTGGATGTTACAGCAACAACGTCAAAATCGGCAAACTAGAAGTGTTACTTTATATAATCGATTTAACACATTTTTACGATTTTTTCAAAAATGGCTCACTATTTTTATTAAACTAAGTATATCAGTGTATTATTAAGCAGTTTTTAATATAATGTAAGTTTTATTCTCATTGATGTTCTCTAACAGGACTTGAATGGCTAATTTTCAGTATTAGCTCCCGTATTCAGTATTTTTTTTTATTTGAATTAACTATTTCACATTAATCTTTGATACAAAAAATAATGAAATATGAAAGAATTTGATAATTAACTACAGGAGGAGTAAAAGAAAGTAACAGATAATAGTTGTAATGGAAGAACAAAAGGAATACGAGTGCAGCCGAGCCTGCCCGAAAGATTACAAGAGGCTTCCATACACAACATGGCCTTAATGTAATACGTACTCCGACAATATTATGTACATATACATATGTGATATAAAAATTTAAGTCTACATAAAGTAATTTAAACTAATAAAAATACCCACAATGAAATGTAAATAAATTTAATGTCTATAATTTTTACTTTCACTTTTCCTTTGTCTAAAAATACTCATTTCTGCTAAGAGGGTGGTAAGTGAAAATCATGTGATTGTGGGAGCTCATACACGTGTTTATTGCATACAGTGCATTCTGAAATCCAGAAAAACAGTTTTTTTTTTTTTGCATGAATTTGTTTAGAATGCTATTTTGAGTCACCCTTCAACATCTTAGCTTTCAGAAATGTATTTTAACCTTTTTATTCAGCTGTTAATAAACGGAACATATGCCTTTCCGGCCGCACAATGCAAAATAACAATTTTCATAACAATGCAAAATTAGAGCGGCAATCCCGCAGCACTCTGCTTTCCTTGTGTATTTGCTCATTTTTGTAAAGCAAAATAACTGAAAATTATCAGATAAATAACTGTGCTCATAAAAATTAAATTATATTATTTCTAAAAAAAAAAAAAAAAGTACACCGACAGTGGTATTCGAAATATATATTTCTTTGTATTTACAAATTGTTTTCTTACCTGAAAAAGTTCCATGTTAAAAATAGCACAGTTATAAATTTTATTATTGCACTTACATTTATTTTGAGTTTTAAACACTTTTGTATTATATGAAATATAAATATTCTTTTTGGTGGATGGAAAAATGATAAAACAACTAAATTATTTTAATTCTGTATATTTCTACATTTATTTATTACATTATATCAATATATATATATATATATGTATATATATATATATATATATATATATATATATATATATATATATAATAAGGTCATTTATTAGTTATTCAATGAACTACTAAATATTCATTGCTTCTGTGTTTATTCGAAGTTTCGATCTTGGTTTTTTAATAAGTTAACAATGGGATCCTCTTCAAAATTCTAAAACAGAGCCTTGATACCTCAGGCCAGAACACACCGAGTGTCTCAGTACCGTCCACAAGCACATATATTAAGCTACTCTCAGTACGGTGTGTTCCTGGCCTGGATGGAGGATCCCATTGTTAACTTATGAAAAACCTGGGATCGAAACGTCAAATAAACACAGAAGCAATGGACATTTAATAGTTTATTGAATAATTAATAAGTGACCTTATTCCCAATTAAATAATTATGTTAAAATATAATACTCAAAGGTCGAAGTGAAATGGTGAAGGCGGGACTTGCCCCTACCTGTTTAAGTGGCGACCGCCCAGGCAGAGAGGCCGTATTCCGGCCGCACCAGTGGCCTAACTCTTAACGGAAAGCTAACAGTTAATGTTACGGTATTCGTCCAATCAGCTACTTCTTTTCATCAGTGGCTTATAGCTATCAGGCATGGACTTATTGTTTGTTTTCCTCGAGCCCGGTTAATTCAGACTGACTTTTAGCCTCACTTCATATTTTTTTAACTAACATATTTATCCAGTTTTATTTTTTACTTTTGGCCCATTAAATTGTTAATAGAGACAATCTCTGTTATTATTTGTTGCTAACTATGTCTTTTTATTTTATTTTCCAGCAAATTTCATACAAAAACCTTATTCAGAGAAATTTTGAAATGGAAAAAACAAAAGGGCCTCCACCTCCTAATTCAGCAATTCACCTTCCCTTTATTGTCGTAAATAGTGATAGAAAAACTGTTATCGACTGCTCAATAACTAATGATAAGTAAGAAATGTTTACTTATTATTATCATAAATAATTAATGCATTCATAATTTAAATATTTAACAAATGTATTTTATTCATTTAAATTTTTCTTTTCATAGGACCGAATATTTGTTTGTTTTTAATGATAAATTTGAAATACACGATGACTTTGAGATTTTGAAACAAATTGGCCTCACTCACGGTAAGCTATATCATTTAAATTTATAATAAAATACAATTTTATAAATTATGTATGCCAATTGAACATTTAAGCTCACCTAAATTTCATTTAATCAATTTTATTAAGAACTTAATTTATAATTATTTCTTTTGTTTTCATAGTTAATATTTAACATATGTTTTGCTTGTAAATCTTTATATATCATTTAAACAATTCAGGAGATAAATATTTTTGTTTTCTTGATAGTCAAATAATTCAGAAATGCTTTGTTATATGGTGGGCATTTTTTGCTTTCACTTATCTATAAATGTAATATACAGTAAGGGTAAGTATTGCGATCGTAAAAATTTTTGAATCTGAGTTTTCAATGGAATTACACGTTTTGAGGTATCCTGAGTGCAAAGAACCAAGTCCCAAAAAATGGTCTGTGTGTCTGTGAACACTCTAGCTCGAAAACGAAAAGTCTTACAAAACTGATATCACGTATTTAAGATAGGTATATGCCTTAGATGTCATAGCAACTTTTTCCTTAAAATCGACTAACCAGGAGTGTCACTTTATATCAACGGTGAAACACATTTTTACAATTTTCTCAAAAACTACTCTTAACGATTTTGATTTAACTCGGTGTGTCATTGTATAATTAAGTGGTCTTTAATATCATTTAGATCATATCCCCTTTGATGTCACTTTACAGAGCTTAAATGCCCAATGTTCATATGCATCTTCCTCTAAAGTACCTTTAATATGGTTCATTTCAAATAATTAATTAGCTCTCATTATTAAAAGTTATGACAAAATGCTAAGTATAATTTTTAAAAGAATTTGATAATTGAACAAAGGAGATAAAATTAGAAAAGAAATGCTTATCCAGGTCAAAAATGAATCTCCGGAAATACTATTCAGAAGGTATATGTATAATATATCGTTGGAAAGCGGAAAATTTTAGAAAAAACAATATCTAATATAGAAAGTTGTAGAAGGAAACGCTGAGTGGCAAAAAAATTATAAACAATAATTTTGAAAACCAATAATATTTAACTTAAATCACATGTTTTCAAGGAAATTAAATGAAATTTAGTAACTAAATTTAAAATTCAAAAAAAAAAATTAAGTTGGAAAAAGTATTTAAAATCCACCAAATCAAGGCAATGAATGGCATTGATAAAAAAAACTATTTCATTGTACTTGTGTGAAAGAAGAAGTAAAATATAAAAATATTTCATGGATACATTTATAACCTTAAATATATTTACTGTAGTTTAATAACTCTATATCTGATATTATATTTCAATAATTAGGTATCTATCGTACGTTTATTCTGAAAAATCATTATGTAACCTTTTAGAAAATTAAATTAGTGAATAATTTAATGAATTTTCCCGTGATATTCCAACAGAATCCACTTACAATTAGTGTGACAACTTTTGACATGTCTATGACAGACAATGCAAATCTCCTAATTCTGTTTTAGTAAACTTTGCTATGGAAAATAATAGTTTAATAACGAATATTCGTACCATCCATAATCAGTGGATCGTACAATCCATAATAAACCGGTGATATGATAAATAGGACTTTTGTTATTTTAATAGTATTTATGATTTATTAGCTGTGATCTTTTACTTTTAGCTTTAGCTCAGTTAAAAATGCAATTAGAAAATTTTATAATAGCCCAACATGGCCAGAAAATTATTTCTATTCAAAGCTGAGCGGTAAGTGAAAGTTGTGAGTTGTGCTCACCAGATTTTTTCCTTATTGTCTCCCGTATTTCCAAATTAAATTGTAATGTTAAATTAAATGGCATGTGCCATGCAAACTAATAATCTAAGGCAGCAGTTTAGCTACAAAGCAGTCTTAGCTTTCAATCTCTACGTGAGATGAATATGTCTTTAGGAATAGTGTTTTTTTGGCTTTTTTTTTAGCTTCATAAGTCCTCTAATGGTCATAACTTAAACTGACAGTATCCATCACTCAACCTCTCTAAAAAGTATATGTATATTCAATTTCTGGAGTTAAAATAGATAATAACATATAAGTTACTAATAATCTTATTTTTATCTAGGTCTTGAAAATGGTGATATTTCGGAAGCCAATCTTGCAAAAATAAAGTCTATGTTGCCAAAATCAATGGAAAAATATGTCACAAGTAAGTTGTAATTAGAGGCCAAATTTCCATGCTATTGCACATTTTATTCACTTACGTGTAAAAATTTCAAACCCAATTATCTATTTGTTTCACGGTATGTAGAATAATGTATTGAAATTTGATATGCGCAATTTTGATTTTTAGCATTAAATTGCACATTTTTGTCCTTAGGCTAAATTATATGATTTATAAATTTAAATATGCATGTGTGTGGAAATATTTACTTTTTTATTTTACTATATTGTCCCTATTAAATTTATAATTTGAGATAGAAAAAATGAGGATGGTTAATAATTCTGTTTCTGGTTCGAATTCTACATTACAAAAGGAAGAATTAAATACAGATTAAGAATATTGTTAGATTAGAACTCAACTAAAGCGTTGGATAACTAAAAAACTGCCTTTCCAGAATGAGGTGTTCTGTTAGAAAAACATTTATTGTTATTGTTTTGATGTGAATTCTCACTCATTCTTCAGCCCTATTGTATCCTTTGGGGCTTTGACGTGATTTGTAATAATTCTATTCTTATTTTTTTAAAAATTGAATGATGCTGAAAGTAGTATCTAGTCAAAAATTAAAATCTGGGTGTCAAATTAATCAGAGTTGAAATTTTATGAGAAAGTTATCTTCTGTACACTCTGTGATGCATCAATTAATCTTATTGTGTGTATAGAAAGAAAAAATATTAGATTTTTCATCTGTTTTTTTTTTTTGTTTTTTTTTTTTTTTTTTTGGCATTATAGACCATGTACATCTTATACCGCCTTAACAAGCCTGCTCCATCTCTCCCTGTCTTGGGCTATTTCTTTTGATTTATCTGCACGCAGCTCTATTGCATCTTTGTTGTTTCTATCTATCCATCTGGTCTTTTGCCTTCTATTGAGGCATTGATTGTCACATAGAGGCTTCTAGATGGATTGCTACAAGCTACATGCCCCACCCATCTTAATCTCTGTGCCTTCGTATCATAGGATATTGATTGACTAGTTTCTGTAAGCAGTTCTTTATTGGTCTTTCTTCTCCATGTGTTAGTACTCTGATCCCAGATAGCTCCGGTTATGGTGCTAGGATTTTCCTCTCAAATCTTTGAACACTTTATTCTAGTGTCCAGGTCTCTCAGCCAAATATTAGAACTGGCTTTATCATAGCATTGTATTCCCTTAATTTGAGATTTTTCGGGATTTCAATACCTTTGAGAGCGAGAAGAGAGCTCTGTTTGCGCTAATTATACGTTGGTCTATTTCTGCTGCTGGTCATTCATTGAGGTTATTGTGGAGCCGACGTATTTTGAATTTTTCTACTCTCGGGAATGATTTTTCTTCTACGCAGATATATTATTGGGTTAGAATTTTTGGCTTATTATCATATATTTTGTTTTGTCTTCAATTACTTGTAGGCAGATCTGCTCTGCCTGTCTTATTAGAGTTATAGCGAATTTCTCAATGTCCTCTTAATTGCTTCCAAGTACAGCTATACCATCTGCGTATCAAAGGATTTTATGTTTCATTCCGGTCTGTACCCCTCCATTTTCCTCAAATGTTGCTCTTATTACCTTCTCCACGGCTAAGTTAAACAACATCGGTGATAGTCCATCTCCCTGCAGTTAGCCCATTCGAACTTTGAAGGTCTCAGATACTTCTCCTTGTTAGAACTCTACATTTGAAGTCATTTATACATGCCTTTGTAACTCTCACCAACTTACCGGAAATTCCCTGTTCAGTCATGATTTTCCAAAGACAGCTCCTGTCCATAGACTCTTAGGCTGCTTTGAAATCGACAAATAGGGTGTGGATGTCGTCCTGAGTTACTTCCCATTGTTTTTTTGAGTACTTGTTTTAGGATGAAGATCTGGTCTAGCGTGCTGCTTCTTTTTCTGAATCCAGCTTGGTGGTCACCTATTATGTACTTGTAATATGGATATATCCAGTTTAGTAGGATAATGGTCATTATCTTATAGCAGAACACTACACGTATTTTGTGTTTTATCTTTAAATTTTATTAAATATAACCTTATACCTCTATTCAATACAACTTACTATGTAAAAGTTTACTGGACTATTATTTCACCTCATACTTCACTTTCAAACTTCAGCTTCTATATAAGTTCTATAATTGCAATTGTATAATTTTTCTCGTTATTAATGAGACAAAAACAAAATACATGACCACAGCCCCCCATGGAAAACCATACATACACATTGAGTCATATTCCTTCAAGAGAGTGGAAGAATTTATTTATATAGGATCGCAAGTGAATTCCCGAAATGACAATGCATAGGAAATTGAGCGTTTGAATGTATTCGCTAACAGATGCTACCATGGATTGATTGGCAATGAATTTCCAGAGCAAAGTAGTATCCCGAGCCACCAAGATCCACCTGTATAACACATTGGTAAGACCAGTACTCACTAAAGCTGCGGAATGATGGACTACTACCAGGAATCAACAACAGGCCTTGCTAAGATTTGAGAGATAGATCCTGAGAAGAATCATGGGTGTAATACACGTAAGCGGAATCTGGAGACAGTGGACTAATGCTGAATTAATGCAGTATTAATAATCCATATAAGGGATGCTGATGATTAAAGTAAGTCGTCTCAGATGGGCTGGAGACATTATAGGAATGTCTGAAGGTCAGGTCCCAAAAAACATCCTCCTAGAACAAATCTTTAGCAAACGAAGAAGAGGAAGAACAAGGTTGTGGTGGATTGATGGCGTATCTGCAGATGCCCGATCCATGCTTGGGGTTTGAAACTGGAAAGTGGCAGCGCAAAATAGGGATGACGGGGGTCAAAGCTGCAAGAGGCCTTGGCTCCATGCAGGAGGTAGTGACATTTGATTTGCTTGGGGTGCAGGGTGGCCGAACGGGCTAACATGTGTGCACAGCACTGCGCGTTGCCTGGCAACCTGATAACCAAACTTGGAGACAGTAAAAGTAGGAGTTCGCATCCCGGTGCCTGGGTGTCTTTAAAATTCCCTGCCCTCATCCCCTGGCTTGGGAAAACCCCCGTATAGCCTAAAAAGGTGAGGTAGGGAATAACATACTTATATTTTAAGTATTCTCAATATTTGTTGCTGTCGTATGGTACCATGTTATAGTTCATGATTATAGTTAGTAAATATTTGAGTTCTACCAATGGGTAGTTTCGCTTCATGTTGTACTTGTCATGTTACCAATGTCACATTTACTTGTATTTTCCATGTAATACAGTTGTAAATTTCATTAAAATAAAAAAAAAATAGTTAGTAAATATAAATTTGTAAATACTAAAAACAATGAAGTAAAATAATAATTTAATTTAAAAATAAAAACCTTGATTACCAAAATAATCCTATGCATCTCAAGAGTATGTACTTGCATATGTAATTAAACACCTTAGTAGATTGTTTGCAAAATTGATGTCTATGGACATTTAAAATTGGTGTTATTGTTTTATGGCATGGTTTCTGGCTAGTAGATTTCTTCCCAGAGTTTTGTTCGTATTATCAATGTGGGTTAAAACATCTGCATTGAATAAATAATAAGCATTATTTAAAAATTTTAAGACTGACTTCCATATTATCTTCTTAATGTTCATAAACCTTTTTGATATTAATGTTGTAACATCTCATTTTATTCTTTTATAGAAATGGCTGAAAGCAGTAATAATCTTAATGGATATAAAGATGAATCTCCTTATAGCATTGAATTTGTAGAAAGTGCTGGCACATCTACTGATTCTTATCTTCATGCCGAAGATTTAGATTCAACAGTTGAAGAAACAAGTGATGATGAATCGAACATATCAACGGACATCGACATTAACTGAATTATGCTCCCTTCAGGGAGTAATAGAGATTTTCCCCTTCTTAATTTACTTTAAAGTATATTTTTATTTTTGCCTAAATCTGACAAAATAGTGCCTATGATTTTTTATATATATTTTTTTTAGCAGCCAGATTAAGCTGTATAAATTTAACATTATAAGTTAATTACTAATTGTACAGAATTTTTATTTTTAATGAAGCCCATTTGTATATTTTTTATTTTATAATCATGTATTTTAAACTTAATTTACTTAAGCTGCGATATTACCAAAATTCGTATCTCTGTGTTTGTAGAATAAATTTTTTTCTGAATGAAAATATTATTTAATTTCTTTTTATTTAATATTTTATTTTTTAAATATTTATTCAGAAATATCCATTTTAAAAAAAAACTGTTTTGATGTAATTATTTAATTTTCAACTTATAAAATAAATGCCTATTGGTAAATCTTTGTAATCTAACTCTGACATTATTTTTGTTTTTAAGTTGTTTTATTAACTCTCACTCATATTCTTTACTGTTGCTATGTTTTGTAACAACCATATTAGTGCTATGTAACGAAGTATTCATTAAGTATTTTTATTTTTTCTATTATTTATAACATAGCATCATTTATGTCCCATCAGAAATTTTAAATAATTATAAATTACAATGTTTTATTATTGATTTTTAATCGTGTTAATTGTTACCGTAAATGCAGGGTTATAAATAAACAAAATATTGCAGCTTAGAGGTAGCAAGTATTTTTTTTTTTCTTTCAATGTATATTTGTAAATGAAATATATACAAACTTGTATATATTACTTTTTATTTTTGTGTTACCAGTATTTAAAGCTGTGCTTTAAGTATTCATTATTATTAAACCAGTTCTTTTCTTTTTAAATTTACAAAACTTATTGGGTTTTTCCCCCTCCAAAAGAGCTAATCAAAGTAGAAAAATATTGTGTGCGATGTATTACAAAAAAAAGTTTTATTTTTTGTAAGCTTGCTATAAAAAAACTGTAAAAAGTTACTGTTATATCAGACTCTGAAGTTATACCATTGCAACTAGTCTTTTTATGTTTGAAACTAATTTTAATCGTTGGCTTTATTAAGATTGTTGTAAAGTAATGTTACTTTTCTTAAATCTAGTTGACCAATTTCTGTTATTAGCTATATAAAGACAAAAAATTGTTTTGTTATTTTTGACTGTATTCGAGAAATATTTGTAATTTTATTCATTGAAGGGTATAATTTTACACTTAGATAAATGAAATAATTATTTTGCCATATTTAGTAATGAGATTGTTATTTATAATAGTTTTATTGTAAACAATAATGTAATATTTAGGTGACAAATAGGAATTAGACATATGTATGTCATGTACATTCCCACACATGGTCCGAAATAATGCAGTGTCATTTCTTATAGGAATTTGATAACATTTATATGCGAGATCTGTATATATATATTTCTTTTGTGAACATATATTTTTCATGCATTTCTGATCATATTTTATATAAACTAAGTGCAACTTATAATTCTGCTTCTTATTTACCCTTGTTTTGAAATATGTTCCTCCTTAAATCAAGTTCAATGAAAACAAAAAAAAAAAATCACCTACTCACATAAAATGTAATTGGTTTTAGAAAAAATATCCTTTCACCTCTGTTTTAATCTGGTGTCAGAACTTGAAGAAAATAACAAGAATTGAAGAATGGATTTGGCTGGTTTTGGAATGCCACATCTTTTATATTAAATATATGTTACTAAAATTTAATCAACTCAACATATTTTTTAAAAAAGCAATAGCATTAGAAACTATAGCTCATAGGTACTCTCCTCAGGACTGGCTCCAAATTTATACTGACAAATCAGTTGAATCAGCCGTTAAAAATGCTGAGGCAGGGGTTTACTCGAGGGAATTTCAGTTCAACGCTGCGGTGGTTGAGGATGGTGAGATAGCAACGATCCTCATAGCCCTAAGAATGCTATCAGGAAGGCAAGTTCAGAGCACTGTTCTCTTTGTCGACTCTCAAACAGCAATCCTCGCTATTACTGACGTGAATAAATGTCGTCTCCACAAGATAAGCATGGCTGAGGATCATAGGTATAAATTATGTGAACAAGCAAAAATAGATGCAGACCGCCTAGACACATGTCCTGCTTTGACGGACTTAAGAAATAAAACATTTTTGTGAATGAATATATAAAAAAATCAAACTTACACTGGGCAGCATGTCGAATGACCAATGACAACGGCATAGGAAAAAAAAAACAAGGAGTGTGGATCAATAATACAAAGATAATAACAGTATACTTATAATAAAACTTTTAATATTATTTCTAAATAGAAAAATTAATAAATACTTTGGATTTTAAACTAAATGAAAGACCAATATTTTCTTATAACATTAAGCAACTTTTCTCAATTAAAAATGTTAAATCACTCCAAATTTTCATCATCATATAGGTCTTCAAAATCTGAAAATAAAAATTATGAAAATCATAAATGTATCCTTTAAGAGAAGTAGCAAAAATATGATATTGTAATTTAAAAAATTAAAATTATTTTCTAATTATTGGAAATGAATATCTTAAAATTATGTCATCTGAGGCTTTCAGTTATTGTGAAGAATCTGAGATCTATCTAGAGATAGAACACAATTTACAAAATGTTTATAATAAAAAAACATTACACATGCTTGATATATCTGATGAATGTAGATTGTCTCTTCTATGATGATTGATTGTTTGAATTGATTCTCTCAGATATAGTTTATATCATGCTGGTTCTATTAATATTGATTAGGAGTGATCAATTGGGTTCAACCTAGGCTGGATATTAAGTGATGCTGAGGATTGAACTGGGAGAAGTTGATTTGAAAAAGGTCATTATGATATTTTCCTTTCAATTTTGCACAACAATATATCGAAAGAAAAGTGGCAAAATCACATTTCGATTTTTTTTTTTCGTCCACATAAAATTGAATCAATTTAATATATTAAAAAAACATAAAGCAAGCGTATAAACATATACCAATATGTTTACAACCATTCAAATGCAAATCCTTAAATATATCCATATATTATAAAATGGAGTACAATATATGAAATGAAAATATTTTTTTATTATCCTGGGACTGTTGTCCCTTTAGGACAAATTACAGATGAAGAATAAATGCCTGTGTGGCCATACATAAAATTGATTATTTACATTTATTATTAAGATTAAGATTTTGAAAAAATAATAAAACAAAAAATATAACTATTACACTAAAAACATTCTGATATGTATAATACGAACTATATAATAAAACAAAATAGCATAAGTAAAGAAAATCATTTCTGGGGGAACTTTAAAAGTTCTCTTATCTACATTTCATGATCAATCGGGTTGGGAAAGGAGTAGGTAGTTAAAAAGGAGAGATTTAAATGAGGAAACTGATTGTACATGTCGGATATCGGGAGGGATGGTATTCCAGAAGGAGACGGCTTGAATTATAAAGGATTTGTCAAACGCTGCAGTTCGGTGGGGAGGTGAATAGAGGTCGGAGGTACGAGATCTAGTGAGACGGGATTGAATGGAATATTTGAATTGTAGGTTGTGAAAAATATAGGAAGGTCGCTGAGTTCTGATGACTTGGTATAGAAAAGTGGCAAGGAAGTACAAACAGCGGTTGGATGGATAGAGCCACTTCAACTTGGTGTAATACTGGGTTATATGCGTATATCTTGAGATTCCGAAAACAAAACGTATTGCGCAGTTCATTAGGCGTTTAAGTTTGGTCTCGAATTCTCCCGAGTGTCCGCCGTACACCAGACAGCCATAGTTGAAGTGGGGGAACACAAGGGAGGAAACCATGAGTTGACGGGATTTATATGGAAGAAGATAGCGGAGACGGTTAAACTGTTTCAGGGTAGAGATAGTACGACGGGAAATTTGGGAGATGTGTGGTTTCCAGGAGAGGGTTTGATCGAACGTAACAGCAAGGTTTTTTACGGAAGTATGGAATGAGATAGGTGAGTTGTTCAGGAAAAGATTGGGGAGTATCTGTATGGATTTGAGGAGTGAGGGAGATCCGATCAGAATGGCTTTTGTCTTATTGGCGTTTAGAGTAATCCTATTGTGATTTGCCCAGGCACATATTGCATTTATATCTTCCTGTAATTTTTGGATGGCGCCAGAGGATTCGGTTGGATTGAAGGAGAGGTAAATCTGGACGTCGTCGGCGTACAGATGGTATTGACAGTGAAGGATAGAGGATGAAAGGTCATTGATGTAGATGGAAAAAAGGGTTGGAGACAAAGAGGAGCCTTGTGGGACACCCCTGGACAAAGGTAAAGGTTCTGATGGAGGGTTATATGGTGTCTTCAAGGCATATATAAGCCCTTATACTATAAAAATTTATTCATCATTCAACGATGTTTAAAATTTTCAACACAGTACAAAATAATAAAACTAGAAAAACCCTAGAATCAACTTATATTACTAAGAATATAACTAATGCAGTAAATTTCCAATTGAATGTTAAAAATATAGGCCAACTTCATTTCCATATATTAAATGAGATTAGTTTTTAATTAGATAGATCATTGGAAAATAATAAATATCCCATTTACTTATTTAGTTAATTCCTGCAGAGACATCTTCCTCCTCCCAGATTCTCCGCTGTTCTTGGTCATATTCCTAATGCCAATTACACCAAGTAGTTCTTGGAAGTATTCTTCACTGGTCCATTATATTGTTGTTTTTATTCAAAAGTTTTCCACTTCTGTCCTTGATGAATTTTAGCAATTGGTAGATGAGTTTTTGATTTTATTTGAAATTAACCTCTAAATTCCAACCAACTTTTCCTCTTTGCCAGGATTGCAGCTGCTTTCACTATCTTTCTTTTATTTTTATAAGCACCACTAGATTTTTTGTGGCAAGTTAATGCTTCCATGCATCTTTTTTTCCCCTTTATGTTCTCCTTCAGTTCCTGTGACCACCACAGTGTCCTCCTTTTACGACCGTACGTTCCTCTCCATACCCACACATACTGTCAGCAGCATCGAAAGAAGAATCTTGCAGAATGCAGACCAGCAATCTTCAATGTTGTCCAATTCCTATTGAGCTTATAAAATATGAAGTTAGTAAAGGTAGCAGATAGAGATGGGATAGCACCTGAAATGCTCCGATACATTGGAGAACATGGAAGGAAAGTTCTTCTACATCTTATCAATATAAGCTGCAGCCTTAAATTTATGAGTGGTTTGGTTTTATAATTTATAAAATCTCATCACTTCCAACTGCCCATGTACATGGTATTTGACTTAATATTTATTACGTTTTCCACTTAATTTATTGACAGATTTAACCCTGCTTCCTTTGTGACATCCATTCACCAAAGTGCGTTTCAACTTGTGCCCGGCCTTAAAGGTAAGCTATGATGCCACCAGATGCCATTTATGTTAGTTTTAGTATCTTTTTTATTTAGTAGTGAACTCTGTATTAACCACAGATTCAGTTTAGAAATACTCAATAGTCGATAAGTAGCATTGTTTCAAAAACTCGACTTTACCAATAGTTCAGAAAAGGTTGAGTTGCCTTCTCATTTTTAACTGTTAATATTGGCAAACAATAAGATACAAGTTGTATTATTTAAAATTTATTTTACATTATATTTTTAGTTAATGCACGGTTGGTACAATTCATTGGCTGGCAAACCCCGTTTGTATGATCCCTGGGGCTGGTATTTACTAGCAATATGACAGTTGGCATCGTAGGATAATTAGTATGTACTTTTTATGGTAATAAAGAAAATAAATTACTTATGTAGCACTACAATAAAATAAGAACAGAAAAATAATTTTATTCTGGGACTAAAGTCCCTTCAGAATAACATCAGAAGTTCAAAAAATATGTACATCAGTCTGGTATGTTGTTATAATACAAATATATACATAGAATCCTAAGAAAAATACAATCATATACAAAAAATACTGAAAGAAAAATAAAAGAAAAATAAAAGTAAAATGGCAATTAACTGTTGACAAGCAATTATAATTAGATAATCTAAGAATCACCCGTAACTCATTAAATCTTATAACAGAGAAAAGCAAAGCTTCACAAATCAAGTATCAACTTTTACTTCCTCCCAGTTTATGAATATAAAATAAAGGTGACAAAAATAAAATAGTAGGAGCTTTGTTTTTAACATTAAAAATCCTAATCAAAGTTTAAAATATGTATCCTCTAAAACTTAATACTTGTTATTTAAAAGACTATTTTTTTTTTTACTCAAACTATTTATTGTAGTCAATTTTCTTTCATTTATAATAAATAAATTTAGTAATAAATTATAAATTTTTAATATTTGTGTCTCCCGAAATATTGGTCAGGGAAAACTGTCATTAAGTAGAGAAAATCAGAGAATTTTACTTTAACAGTCTGATAAAAATCTGAAAATAGAAAAAAATGTTAGTATGTCATAATTTTGGCAAAGCTAAAAGAATGCTGGGAAAATTGTGGAATACCAGGATGAAATCAAAATTAAAAGTATTCTAACAGAATTACTAAATAGAACAGACAATACAGGAAGAATGAGAGAAAAAGAACAACTGATTAAGGCTCCATGGGAAAGACTTCATTAATAATGTCTTTTTCTTGTAAAATTAAATAGAAGTTGTCAAACTTTTAACAGGACTGAACACCAACTATCTATACAGCAGTAACTGTACTTATCATCTTTAAAGTTATTTGGAATAATTAATTTTACTTTCTTTTTGTTTTGCAGTATTATAAGCCGTATCCACAATAACTTAATAATTAATTAATCAATAAATAATATAAAAATACAATAAAATATATTATTTATGAAAATCTCTCACTACCAGCTTCATGCTTCAAGAAAGTAATAGCTTCTAAATTTTCTCAATACTGATATTTAAAAACATAACGTATAACAAAAATAATTCACCATTGAAGAAGTCAGGATGAACAGCTTTTTCATTTGTAGCAAGATCCATTAACAGTCCACTTGAGCCTCCTCCCTAGACAAAATCATTGAATTGTTATTAATTTAAAACATTTTTAAACTGGTATAGGAGTATTTCTACACCACTTTCATTAACGCAATTTCACTCGATAATAATACCATTAATAGCAAACAAATAAAAATCTATAATACCAACAATATACATTTACTAAATAAAGTGTATGATTTTTTTTTGTATTTTAAATAAGGTATGACGGCTCAAATGATGATTATTTAATGAATATATACACACACACACATATATATAAAAGGAGGGCCTAGCAGTCTAGTTCAGAGTGGATACTTCATTACTATTTATGCGTGCAATATGCCCTACCCATCTTAGACCTCCAACTTTTATTAAATGGATGATATCAAGGTCATTATAAAGATTCATAAGCTCAGTGTTTTCTCCATACACTGTTGAAACACGTAGATCCCTTAATTCTTCTTAAAATCTTTCTTTCGAATCTCAAAAGAGTTGATTCTAGTGCTTTCTCCATCGTCCAGCACTCAGATGAATAGGTGAGGACGGGCCTGATCAGAGTCTTGTAGATACGTATCTTGGTGGTCCTAGAGAATGATTTACTCTTTAGAAGCCTCTGTAGTCCATAATAGCATCTATTAGCTGCCATTATCCGTCTCTGAATCTCTGGTTGCATATTATTAGTTGAGTTCAACAGTATCCCAAGGTAGGTAAATTCCTCGACAGATTCGAAGTTTAAGTCCTCAACTTCGACTCTCCCTCCTAGATATTCTCCTCTTCTAGGATTGCATAGCATATACTTTGTTTTGTACTCATTCACCTGCAGACCAAATTTAACGGCTGCACTTTGCAAATTTAGGAAGGTGCCCTCCATACTCTGAAAAATAAGTCCTACAACATCTAAATCATCGGCATAAGTAAGAATTTGGCATGATTTGCTGAAAATTGTCCCTCCTATTTGGATTTCTGACTCTCTTATGGCACATTCCAATGCAACATTAAACAGTAAGCATATTAAACAATCACCTTGTCTAATTCCCTTGTGGATATGGAAAAAATCAGATGTATCTCCGGACACTCTCACCGAACACTGAGTAATCTTCATAGTCATTCTGACAAGGCAGACTAGCTTCAGAGGGATGTCAAAGGTGATCATTCCATCATTAAGCTCCTCTTGAATCACGCTGTCATAGGCAGCTCGGAAATTCACAAAGAGGAGGTGGATCTGGATTTATACTCAGCTGTTCTCTCCATTATCGTTCTCACCAAGAAAATTTGGTCAGTCATAGCTTTGTTTTTCATAAAGCCTGCTTGATATAGGCCTATTCTCTTTTCAACAAAATATAATAAACGTTGAAAAAGGATATTGGAAAACAACTTATAAGCAGAGAGAGGGAGAGATAGTTCTCGCAATTAAGATGGTCTCCCTTTTTGTGAATGGGGCATACAATAGTTTTGTACCATTCTTCAGGAATGAGCTTCTCGACCCAGATGTCCAAGATCAGATTCTCCATATACTTAGAGATAGATTCTCTTCCGTGCCGGTATTCCGTCCACACCTGACCCTTTATTATTCTTCAACCGATCTATGGCGTCTCTAATATCTTCTTAATCTGGTGGTTCCAACTCTTCACCAATGATGTTGGTCCTATGTAGTGTTTGTTCTTCCATGAACTCCCCATTTAAGAGGTTTTGAAAATGATTCTTCCAATGTCCAATAACTTTTTCTCTCTCAGTGATTAGAGAACCATCTATATCTTTACACGCATTCGATCTGGGCCTGAACGATGTGTGGGATCTGTTAATCCAGAGGTAAAACTTTCTGAACCCATTCTGGGTCCGAAATGTCTCAATTTCTTCCAACTCTTTCCTCTCCTAAGATCTCTTGCTCCCCTGATGCATTCTTTTGTTTCTATAACATTCCACAGAAGCTCTCCTCTGGATCATCATGGGATATGCAGCGTTCTTTTCATTTATGACCAGTTTAAATTCCAAATCCAACCAGGGTGTCCTTTTTGCTTTCACTTACCTATATGTGTAATAAATAGTAATGGAAAGTATTGCAATCATGAAAATTTTCGAATCTGAGTTTATAACAGAAATACACGTTTTGAGTTACTGTGAGTCCAAATAAACAAGTGCCCAAAAATGATCTGTGTGTATGTGAACAGGCTAGATCAAAAACGAGAAGTCATTTCAAGAAAATTAAATGAAATTTACTAACTAAATGTGAACTTTTAAAACATTTTTAAGTTTGAAAAAGTATTTAAAATCCATCTAATCAAGGCAATGACATTGTTAAAAAAACTATTTCATTGTACTTGTACCTTAAATAAATTTACTGTAGTTTAATAATCCTAGATATGATATTATCATTAAATAATTAAGTATCAACGTCCATTTATTCCGAAAATTTGTCATGTAAATTTTATAAAATTAAATAAGTGAATAATTTGATAAATTTTCCCTTTGTGAAATCCCAACATTATCATCAGGTAACAGGGATTTTAATTAATTTGGGTCCCTTTGCATTGCAGGGTAACTGGAAATGAGCAGGATGACCTAACAACCAACATGGCAAGAAACGCAAGCACAACTCTGGTGGAACTAATTAATAAAATCCCTTTAGAGGACTATATGAGAAAGATTAAGATAGATGTGTGAAAAATTTGGAAAAATAAGTGGAAGCAAAATGACTCTAAATTGAGTGAAATAAAATCCCACTGCTCAAAGTGGGAAACCTCTTGTCGATCCTCAAGAAAAGAAGAGACACCCCTCTGTAGATTACAAGTTGGACATTGTGAGTTCTCGCATGCTTATCTACTAACTTGATCCTCTGACCTGTGTGAGCTGCAATGTCCAAAGAACTCTAAAACACATTATTCAAGACTGTCCTACACAAAAAAACATCAGAGAAAATTTGCTAATTGTTGCTACTGGTTCTAAACTTTGTACTTTTTCTTGGACGGATCTATTGAACTGCTGACTTATGCATTTCAATCTGAGTAGTTTTGTTAAGTTGATTGCTATGATTCAGTGATATCCTGACGTAAACGCAAGCCACCAACAGATAGTGGTCCGAGTCAATACTTGCTCCACGTAGTGTACACGCACATTCCGTATATGTGACCTATATTTCCTACTTATCAGGATATGGTCTATCCGATTTGTGGTGATTCCATTATTAGAGCGCCAGGTCACAAGGTGTATTCTCTTGTGACAAAACAGTGGCTACCACAAGATCCTTAGCTGCTGAAAAAGTAACCAATCTTTCTCCATCATCATTTGACTTCTAGGATACTGTGATTCCCTACCAATTTGTTCATTTAGATGTCCAATTATAATTTTCACGTCATGTTTGGGAATTGCATCAGCAGCTTGCTTCAGGATATCATAGAAGTCATCATTTTATCCTCATCATCCGATGCATGCACTCTTATGAGTGAAAAATTGGTGTATTTGCTTTTAGACAAAGGAGGTATATTCTTTGGCTGATTGGTTTGAAGTCAATTACCAACTGAGCCATCCTCCTGCTAACAACAAATCCAGTCCCATATATGTGATGTTGATTTTCGCACCTGTAGTAGATTGAATGGCTCTTTTTGCTCAGAATACTCGGTCGGGTCCATCTCATCTCTTGGATAGCAGCAATGTCAATGTTTCTAACTGGTTGAGGAGTTGCAGTAAAGCTCCAGGTTGATATAGTGATAATACATTCCGGGAGGATATTTTCCGTTACATTGAGCTACCCCACTTATAAATGCTTAAAGCTTGAAAAATATAAGACAAACAAAACTTAGTATTGTCTCTAGTTTAGTCCTTTTAGCAAATTATTACATCATATTTTAGCAACTATATCACCCCATTAATTTTATTTTTTTCTACACTTATTATTTTTTTCCACGTTTATTGTCTTATACATTTCACTACTTTTCGTTGTTAATTCATTTTTCATTTCTTATGTTACCTTATTTTAATTATCTTTATTTCATTAGTCTCTATATTGTTGCCGTTATTACTTAATTCTTAGTTTTCTGTTACTGTTATTATTCTACTTACTTTATTTCACTTTATTATTTACTCTATCTACTTTAAGTTTATTCTACTATTTTTTAGTTTATACCTTTCACCATTTTAATTTTAATTCTTAGTTATTCAATATTTATAGTTTCTAATACATATTATTATCGGGGTTTTTCTTAGCCCTGAACATTGGGCTGAAACGTCGGCAAAAATAAATATAATTATTAATTTTTACTACTTTTTTTACTGATCTCCTGGACTATTCTTCTTTTCAATTATTCACTACAGTCAACCATCAATCCACAATTAAAAAACTTAGTATAGTTAAAACTATTTCAATTGTAACAGAAACAACAATGAAAATAGAGAGATAAGATTAGCACAAACAGAAAGAATTTTAAAGACGACTCAGAGATTACAAAATAAAAACTATAAGGAGTTAAATAAAACAAAACATAAAACCACCTCTTCCAGCTCCATATAAGGGCCAGCACCTTCAGGAAACATTTCATCAGCAACAAGCGTTGGTTTCATGTTTACAGTCGACTAAACTTTTAAAATTAATAACTAAGAAGACAAACAGTGAACAAGATCTCCTAGAAACCTCTCATCAACACTAGTAGCAATGAGGTAGATAGACAAACTCATTTCTTACTACATGACTAGGAGGTAGGAATGTACTAAAGATATATTGAAATAATGTACTGTTTAGGGGATAGATTAAGTTCTCAAACATAGCGTTGAACTCATTGATGGTATCAGATCCGTCTTAAAACCGGTCCAAATGATATCATCGATTAGTTCAGCGCTGCGTTTTAAGTGTCTTCTGTATGCAGGAGTCTTTAAGCCTCCGATACAATATTCTTGTCGGCAGCGGCGACTTATATGGCGATAAAGCTATATTAATATCTGTTGCTTTATAGCAGACACATAGAGTGAGATAATTCGCAGCGATACCGACAATGGTTCTCGTATCGCTAGGATATCTTGTTTTGTGTCTAGGAGCCTTTAATAGTCCAAGAGCCGGATCAAAATTTTGTGTTATAGATGAAGAAAACATTTAGTCATGCACAGATAAAATGTCTATCATCAACATTAAATTTCCACTAGTCTACAAGATCAAAACGGTTGGCAGTTTAAGAGACTTAGTTGAAATTTGTATTTTTATTTAATTTATTTAGTTGCAGTTCCTCTCCACCCACGTGAGGGCCATGAATCCTAGAGGATAGAAAGTGGAGCCTCATACTAAGAGAGACATGAATTGCTGAAATTTATTGAACAGTTTAAGAACTGGAATGCCAAACATAAAGACATTGAAGAAGGTAGTGAAAAATTCGTTCTGACATAGTATGACTGTCTTAATTTAAAAAAATAACATTATTAGCTATACCTAGTAAAATATCTGCTATTACGATGTCTTTAAATAAACACAGATATATATACATATCACATGGCAAGGAACTCCTGCTTACACTAGGTCCAGTCAAGGATTCGCTGACTCGATCAATAGCTTTTTCTTTTTCTCCCTGCCTTGCCTTACAGGCAATACGGGTTGTAGCAGCAGTATGCGTATGCCACTGCTGGCAGTATAGGCTATTTAATTAAAATTTTATTAACATTATTATTTATGAGGTGTATACTTGTTTGTGTGCACTTTTCTTTTTCTCCATTCTTCACCTGAAGCCGGTCCTCGAAGTAGCAGCAGTTTGTCTTAACTTCCTTCTCTTAATCCCAGATTAAAATGTGTAGGACATTCAGCATCTTTTCACCCGTATATGAATTTCCTATAATGTGGGTAATTCTCTCTGCTCATTAGCGGAGGAGATATGCTCTCTGTCAGCGTATATATCCCCGTCTCTCTCAGAAGCTTAGCTCTTAGTGCCTCATAGGCAGTACATTGCACGACCAAATGTTCGGTGGTCTCCGGAACGTAGCAGTTGAGGAATAGCGGATCAATATTCTTCCCGTGTTTAACGAGCTTCGCTCAAAAGCTCCCATGTTCCGTGAGGAGTTGAGACACCCAGTATCCGGCAGGATCTTTCTTGAATCTAATCGTGACTTGATCGTGATGAAGTAATTTCTTAGGGTAGCTGCCTTCTGAGTTGCCATCCATTGCCGGTTCCATTGATCAAAACTGTCCATCCTGATAATTCTTTTCCATCTTCGATTCGATTAATAGCGTTAACATTGTTTTGTAAATACTACAGTATTTCTTTATCACCACTCACAAGAGAGCCTGCTAAATAACCCTCATACAGTGCCTATAGGCTTATAGGCGAGTATGCTGCTATATTTGGCAGTATTCTGCAATATCTTGGAGCTAGAAACAGAAAGGGAATCATTTTATGGGAATAACTCTGTACTATGCGCCTCATTTCCAATGCGCCATTTCTTATATACATAGATACCTGCATATTTCCTTGTATTTTTAAAAAATTAAATTTTCTTAAAATACACTCGAAAGGTATATTGTAAGAAAATTAAACTTACTCAAATTCGCCTTCAGTGTTGTTCAACAATGTTTATAACGATAGAACGAGGGTCTCCTCACTCTTTGTATAGGCTATATTTTACAGAATAGATATAGCTTACAATTTTCCTGCCTCAGTCGTTTCACGTGATTTACGCTATATTTAAGCTATATGTGTTTACATGTCAGTAAGGATAATTTTCACAGCTGCTCAGACATAAGTGGTCCCACTAAATATTAGTAAAAGTTATAATAGTAATCTAATACTGTAATAGAGTAAATTTATAATTATAAACATTTTATTATACATTGTTTCATTTATTATTTACATTTGATTCATTATTTCTTTTTAAAATTAGGTTTCTTTTGACACTTCATTTCTCAAACTCATTCGCTACTGAGAGGTGGAAAAGCTGTCTATATTCCATATAGCAGACTCTAAAAAAGAATAACACAGTAGATTAGACATCCATATTGTTAAAATATTGAAAATCGTACATACATTAATTTTTTTTGTTATTTATTGAAAAATATTACAATCTGTCTCAGAGGACATTTATAATAGTTTCAGAGATCACATTCACACTCCATGTACAATAAATAAAATAAATTATACAGAAAAATAATATATATACAATAAATAAGAATAAAATAAATAAATAAAAAGAACACATGCATACCTACATACAATATTTACAATCTACCGAGAGAACTCCGAGCCAGACTTGTCCCTCTAACTATGGAGGAAAAAGCATGACTCCAGGAGATCCCTGCACCCCTCTCTCAACCACGTCACTGGGGCTAAACCCAGTGGAGATTGAGCAAGAGTGCTTTAGCCACATACGCTCATGTCGTCAGTGGAGAATCTGGCCATTGCTAGAACTCCAATATTTACAAACTATAAAAGGGACCACTGCCTTTTTAACCTTCTTGGAGGTGGATGGTGCTGGATAGAGATTGAGCAAAGGGATTTGGATGATGGGTAAGGCTCTGGTGAAATTTGGAGAATTTTGCTGGCATAAGGTCTAAGACAAATGGGATATTAAGGTCAAGGTGTAGGGTTTTGTTGGTTACATAGAAAGGAGCATCGACTATTGTTCGAAGGACTTTGGATTGGAAGGATTTGATGTTAGAAAATTTTGCGGTTCCCAACAGTTCAAGCCCGTAAGTCCAAGTAAGTTTCAGTATTGTCTTGTAGATAACCATTTTATTTTCAATAGAGAGTTTAGATTTTCTATTTAGTAGTATGTATAGTTGGCCGTATCGTCGGTTAAGGTCCTGTCTTTTAAGTCTCGTACGAGGGTTCCACGTTAGTTATCTGTCTAAGAGAAAGCCAAGGTACCGGATTGTGTCTGAGAAAGGAAGCCGGATGGAATTAAAGTGTACTGTTGGACAGGAACTGCGTCGGAGTGTGAAGGTGATGTGTTGGCATTTGGATTCCTTTACTTTAATACGCCATTTATTACACCACTGCTCAATCAGGGAGAGGTGTCTTTGAAGGTTTAATGATGCTATATCAGTATCTGAATCGGATGATAGAATGGCGGTGTCATCAGCAAAAGTTGCCAGAAAGGTATTAGAATGGACCGGGATATCGGCGGTAAAGAGGATGTAAAGGACGGGACACAATACGCTACCTCGAAGAACACCAGCCTCAATTGGATAACAATTTGAAAATTCAGCGCGGCAGCGAACTCGGAAGGTACGATTTGAGAGATAGGAATGAAGGACAAGGTATAAGGATTGAGGAAGATGGGGGTTAAGTTTGAAAAGAAGCCCGGCGTGTCATACTCGGTCAAAAGCTTGAGCTATGTCCAGAAATGCACCCGAGCAATATTGCTTGCTTTCCAAGGCTGCGGAAATATGGTCAACCACTCGAAGTCCTTGTTGGACTGTGGAGTGTTGGGAACGGAATCCGAACTGGTGTGAAGGAAGATTTTGAGATTCTATAAAGGGTAGGCTTCTTTTCAGGAGGGTCTTTTCAAGGATTTTTGAAAGGATTGGAAGTAGGCTAATGGGTCTGTAGAAAGTTAAGCTGTTGGGAGGTTTGCCACATATCTTAATTAACAATTTTCAGCCATCGGGAAATTATCGATTAAAACTGATATAATTGCCCTACATTAAACATGTGAGTACTCAGTGAACGCTGAGTTTGATGGTTCTACAACCCTGATCCCATAAGTTTTTTCTATTCGAGAACTTATTTCCAAACTGGAGGGCTATTTATACTAATTTATCTCACTTTTAGGCAAATTGGGTAAAAATCAGTGTTCGCTAGTTGTGATTTTCTAACATACCATCTAAATGATTAAGTTTAGGTACTTGACTGGGACTCAATTTTACATTATTTAATTTTTTAAATATGTTTTCTACAGTAACCCACCATTTAGGATTTATAGATGAAAAACAAAAACAAATCTGTTTTTTTGTAAGAAGTTTTCTCTTGGTGGCAATTTTGTTTTTTACATGTTTGGACCGGTATATCCAAATAAAACAAATCAAAACTTCCCACATTTTTCGAAACTTACTTTCTGTTTCGATCTTGAAGTTACTGGCCTTCAATTAATATTTGTTAAATCAATCGCCACTTTTGAAAGCTTTGACTCTGGAATGGTAGACAAGGTTCATTTTGCTTAGAATAACATACACTTTTGTAATTACTATTTGGGCTCTGGACTAATATGAATTACAGTACGAAAACCAATTTTCGTTCTAATTATCAATTTTATTAAGATAAATTATTATTTAAAAAAAAAGTTTCTATTTCGAATTTGTATTCAAAGTTTCTTTATTTTTTCGAACTAATCAGTTTTGAACTACACTTACTGTGTTTGAGCTATTTTCATAGTGGAGTGGTCTGACCTGTTATAACAAATTGAAAATTTTAATTTTAGCATAAGTTCTGTTGTTATATATAAAAAATGTATTAATAAATTTCTAATCTTTTAAAAATCAATTAAAATTAAACTTTTTTGTAGCTCTCAAGCTTTTTTAAATATTTGCAGGTCCAAAAGCAAATTCTTTTCATTTCTTATAAATATCTTGCAAGAAACAGAGTATGTAGAAGTTCTATCAATTGAAAAACATCCGAATGATTGGATTGGTCTAGAGGAAATGAAAACATTAAAACCCTTTATTGATTGGCTTATGAATTGTGTTACCTATGAAAACTGTTTAA